TGGACTTACTATAAGCCCCGAATTAAATACTTCATATAAAAATAACTAGCCTTGGTCATGGTGTTTTGTCATGGCAATAAAAAAGTAACTATGACACATACCATCTGTTATCATGGTTAGTAACCACTTTTTAAAATTTTGTGTAGGTTGGTGTGTATCTGTGTATACACAAAGTGTGTGTAAGTGTGTGGAGGTCAGAAGTTGATACTGGATGTCCTCCTCTACTGCTTTCCACATTACATTTTTTGAAAGAGTGTTTCTCACTCTTTCAAGATAGACTGGCCAGTCAGGGTGTCTGTGGGATTCACCTGTCTCTGGATACTTTCCACACTCCATCCCAACACTAGAGTAACAAGTATATACCTCTGTGACTGACTTTGACATGGGTGCTGGCGTTCTAGACTCAGGTCCTCAGGCTTGCACAGCAATCAGTGGACCCACTGAGCCATCTTTTTCTGAGCACTTAAGACGTGGCTGAACTGCTCAAAGCATAAAATGTGCATGGTACTTTGAAGACTTACTATGAAAAGATTTTAAATGAGTCATTTCCATATTAATAGTATGCTTAAATGGAATATTTTGGATATATAGAACTAATGAACTGAATGTTTAACATCAGCTTCACCTTTTAAAACTTTTCTAAAGTGGTCATTAGAAAAATTTAAATTATACATGTGACTTGACCTACATTTATGTTTATTAATGCTGATCAAAAGCTAGGATCTACTGGGTTTGCTTTTTGAGCTTACTGCCAACAGCAATAACTATAGATGTATGCATTGTGGGGAAAGCACGAGATTATTCCACGTAAAGGCTTCAGACATTTCAAATGTCCATCGTAGAAAACAGAAAAATCAGCTGTAGTGTGGTTATAACATGAAATCCTGCTTAGCAATAAAAGTGAATCGGCCACAGATCCAGTCAGCAACACAAACAACCCTACAGTGTTGTCAAAGAATTCCTCTCATTTGATACCTTTTATACAGACTTTTTAACAGGAGGAAGAAACTGCATTAGAAATCAGAATGATAGGTAAATCTGGGTAGAATGGTGTGTGTACGAATTGAGCAGAGGCTTTGGGGAATTCACAATGTCCTGGTGGTGGTGATGAGGACAGAAGAGTTACTTCCCTGAGACATACTCATGCAAAGTATGTTCACTTTTCTGTATGTCATTCTTTCCAATAAAAATTAAGAGGGGTTAGTGAGGCTTCCAGCGATTTATTGCAAATGACTTTAGTAAGTGGAGGCCTTCCTGGAAATGAAGCTTCTGCTGTCTGATCTATCTATGGAAACTGCAGAAAAGCACATTGAGCAGTTTTTTAAAGAGCATCCTCTGCCCCGTAAGGAAATGCTCACATTCCCTAATCAGTTCTCTGTCTGACACTCTAGTTTAAGGACTTTTTAACCTCTGTTTGCTCATGAAACTTGGCACAACAGGCCACATTCTGAAAATTACCGGTCATTTTTGTTTTCTTTTGTAGTGCTGGGAAAGTTTGAACCTAGAGCCCCAAGCCTGCTAAGCAAACACTACCTCTGAGCTATACCCTCAGTCCTCCCTCCTTTCCCCTTTTAGACAGTCTTAGTTAATTACTCAGGCTGACCTTGAACTTGGGATCCTCCTACTTCCATCTCTTGAGCAGCACCTGTCCTAATAAAATATAGAACAAAAGAATTAAAAAACTTAAAGAGACATATGGTGTAATTAGTCAGAATTTGTGTGAATTTGATAGAAACACATGTATGTTCAATATATATATACATATATATATATATATATATATATATATAATCTATGATGTCTATTTCACATCATTTTGGGAGCTTTATGCTGGTAGTTTATTCAACTCAAGTTATTCAGTAGTTAATGATCTAAGGACAAGAGTTCTAGAGACATACCTGGCTAATGGAAAAAACAGGGCAGATATTAAAACTATTTTCCCCAGCCACTAATTTTTTTTCAAGTCAAGTAACTGCCTTTTTGCCATCATGTTCCTGTCTCCACACTGATATATTGTGTTACCCTGTGTTATCTCATTGTGTATACAAGAAAAGCCTTCAGCTTCAAGTGTGACACTCTTACTCTCTTTAGATCTAGCATCCTTGCCAGATATGGTGTCATGCCATGCACCTGTAATCCCAATATGTTGGAATTGTGAAGTTGAGGCCAGCCTAGATTACAGAACAAGACAATACCTCAATAAAATAAAATATAAGGTGAACAGCAATAAAACTAAACAAACATACCTTGATTCCTTTATCAGGATGCATAAATTTTTGTGTATGCATATTATCTTCTTAACTACACTGTAGCATCTCTGCCAGATCGATATTTGTTTGCCTCAAGCCTCCTCACTATGCCTAAGACATATAGACAGATACACAATGACTGTAAAATAAGCATTTGCTGAATCTAAAGAAAGAACCTGTAAACATCTGGCTGAGACTTCACAATCAAATGCTATCCCATCATTACAAGGCTATAACAAGCTCAGACTCCTGTGTCAGACTGACCTCAAAATGAATTTGCCCTCTCCATTTACTGTCTCTGTGTTGCTGGGTGCGCTACCTAAGCCCAGTCTCTATTGATAGATCTGATAGTACCAGATGTACTGCATGAGATCACTGTGAGGATTAAAAGGAAAAATCGATGGAAAATACATCCAGTAGCAGCTGACATAGGGAGAACTCAGAAAGCTCTTAATACTGCTCTGAGGGCATGGCAAATCCTGAATCAGAGAACCAACTAGTCAACCACACCTAGGATATGAGGTGCTGGGGGTTGAATCTAGTGCTTGCCGCACCTGCTCACTGACCAAGCATTCTGCCAACTGAGATATACCTTTAACGCCTTGATTTTTTTTACGTTATTAATGACATACTTTTAACAAGTATAAATAAAATTCAGAATACGTAAGTGGTTTGTGCTATGACAAAGAAACAATGAATTTAGGAATAATTTTAAAATTGATGTTTATAAATTATAAAAAACATATTCATAAATATTTTAATTTTGATTTTATTTATTAAATGTATGAATTAGATTTACTTCATTTAATTAAAATAAAATTAAATAGCTACATATAGCTAGTAGGTAGCAGACTAAATGGAGCAGCTCTAGAGTAATAGGAGACAGGCAATAGATGAGGCTGGGAAAGTCAGTAGATTGTAAAGAACTCCAAGGAGCATGTTGCTGATTGTGGGCTTCATGTTGAGATGAAGATGAGCCACTTGGAGTCTCAGGATGGGTTTTAAGCTCCAGGGAGTGATACAGTCTGATTCAAGTTTTAGAAAGAGGCTTCTAGCTGCCTTGGGAGACAGAGAAGAGATTAATCTCTAAGTTTGTTCTCTAAGGAGATTCTCATATCCAATATCTATGTGTGTTTCTAGTCATAGCAACAGGATTTGTTAATAGTAACAAATTACAGTTCTTACTTTCCCCTAGTTGCTCACAGGATGCCTATCTTCCTAAGTATTTCTGAATGTCCACTAAAGAACAACTCATAAGCAAGTGTGTCATCTGGGTATTTAGCCAGAAGTATTGAAGCAGAGTATCAAAAGGGAAGACACTTGCACCTGTCCTTCATTCTGTTTTTAGTTCCTTCTCCTCTTCCCACAGTCCCCCAGTTCACTCTGCTCTTCCTATGGTCCTCCAGCTCACTCTGCTCTTCCTATGGTCCTCCAGCTCACTCTGCTCTTCCCATAGTCCTCCAGTTCACTCTGCTCTCCCCATAGTCCTTCCTCCAGTTCACTCTGCTCTTCCCCCTCCAGTTCACTCTATTCTTTGCATGCTCTTCCTTGCTGAAGCTGCTTTTAGCTGTGGTCCTACCTATGACCTGAGTCCCCCAAAGTCATTACATTCTAAGTAGTGCTTTCCTGGGCTGGAGGCAATCCATCATCTTTCTGAGTTCTCTAAGCCCACTCATTGCCTGACTCATTGTCCTTGGAGCACCTTCCTTAACCTCAGGTGTCTCTCTAGCCTAATTCCCACCGATGGGACAACACAAAACAAAGGAAAATGACCAATTTAAGTTCCCAGGGTGGGAAGCTACACTTGGACTCACCTAAAGATTTTTTCCTCTCTCTAGAAAAATATCAATATGTACATATGTTCATAGCATCCCCCACATCTCCCTGGACACATAGTACACAGAAGCACATGGACTTTGTGTATAGAGATTTCCACTCATGTATCTGCGCAAAGCTGAGTCCTCCTTAGTTCAGCCTGCACATCCCTATTCCACAGGCAGTGTCCTGCGAAGAAATGAACAGTGAAGCACAGGAGCAAACAGCCCAGCAGCCAGGTGTGAGGCTCCTGGAGCTGGGCGTTAAGCATATGTTCTTTGGAGAGAGCTTGACCTGGCTTCAAGTCTCAGCCTGGCCATTTTAATGTAAGTGGTCTTATGCAGATCACTTGACTTCCCAACTTCAATGCTCAGTTCCACAAAATATCTCCTTTAGGAAGTTTGGAGAAGATTTTTGTTTTGTTTTGTTTTTTTATCTCATGTGTTTAGTGGCTGTGGCTATTAAAACACTAAATAGGTGGGAGCTGTAACTGTTACAGTTGAAAGCTTCAGGTGCCATAGGACTGGAGGGGGCACAAAGGACAGACTGTCCCCAAACGTAGATTTATATGAAATATAGAGAGATTTTATGGGACTTTTTATAGATGAGGTCAGTGAAGTCGGGGGACATGTAGTATCACAAATAGTCGGGTCACACAGAGTCAGGCCAAGATTGCAGGTGTGTTTGGCCAGGTTCAGCCCAGGGATCCTTTCTCCAAAGGCATTCTCTTGCAAAGGATCGGTATTTGGACGTGCGGGTGCTCCCCTGATGCACCAGTAAGAAAAGAAAAAGACAGGGTGCCTATCTGAGTCTAGGTGGATACCACCATTCCCAGTTGCCATGACAACCGCAGCTTGGTCTAGGAGACTCAGAGCCGGCCCCTCCCAATCACGCAGCGGACGTGACACGTGCGGCGGGGTCACGTGTTGTTGTTGGGGGGCCCCCCGAAAGCTGCTTCCGGGTCAATGCAGGACACTGGGCTCTGGCGGCCGGAGAGGGGGTCGAGGTGAAGCGGAGCCGGGCCGGGGCCGGCCGGGAGCAGGCCGGAGGCCGAGTGGCGGCGACGGCGGTGACCCGGCGGGCGGAAGCGCAGCCTGAGAAGCCGCCGCCTCCCGGGCGGAGGGGTGAGTGTAGCTCGGCCGCTGCTCAGCTGGGGCCAGAGGCCCGAGGTGTGCTCTCCTAAGAGGGGCAGTGGGGGTAGGAGGCCAGACCTGGGACCTCCGGGAGGACTGAGCATTGGCAGAGGGAGGCTGGGCAGCGGGAGTGAGCTAGGATGCTTCCAGCCTTCCTGAGGCCTGGGGTACCTGGAAGATGCTCCCTTGGTGGGAAACTTAGCTTTGAAACCCTGAATCAGGAAAATATGTGTCCCCATCTGTAAGGTTTGGTGTCGTTGGGAAAGAGCAGCCGTTCCTATACTCCTGGGTCACTAGGCCTGTCCCTTCCCTACATGTAGTTTGATAGGAGTTTGGGGGACCATATATTTGCCCCAAGTCATAGTAAGATGGGGAGCTGTCAAGAGACACCCATCCTGGCTTCTTGGGAATGGAGTGAAAGGATTTGGGGTGGGCTGTGTGTTGAGAATGTAGAGTACAGGCTTCTGGGGCTGCTAAGAGGAAGACAGCCTGGGTTTTAAGGAAAGGAAGAGTTGCCCCTTAGGGACTCAGGCAGCGGTTGCAGAAGTTGTAGATGAGGAAAAGTTGATTGGAAGAGTTGAACTGTTGACAGACAGTGGAGGAAGGAGGAGCTTCACTCCAAGGTTGCTTAGCTACACTAGTTTGTAGGCACCGCCTTAGGGCTGGCAGGACCTCAAGGGCAGCTAAGGGCTTGGCTGGGACTTGTCCCTGTTCTCTCTGTTTTTGCCTGGGCTTTTGTGTGTGTACCAAGGAGCTCTTAAATGGGTTTCTATGGGTCCATCCTGAGCATAGAGCTTGAACAGATTGTTTGGGGAAGGTTGTAAAACCTTTGGGGTCAAACACAGGCTTAGCTGGGCTTGCCCCTGCTGTGTTCATTCTTGGTGCCTGCTTCTGTGTCTGTCTCTGTAGTTCTTGAATATGCTCATAGGCTCACCTTGAGCCGGGGCTGAGGATTAAGTCTTTTTAGTCAGCCAGGGTCCTTTGGCTGTAGACCAGGTTCTCTATGCAATGACTTTCTACCTTAAGAAAAACCAAAAACCTGACAGTAATAAGGACATTATGATCTAGTACCTATACCTCCATATGAATGAAAAGTTTCACAAAGTTGTGTTTTTGTGTGTATGTGCTTTGTTTTGATACAGAACCTATGGTATGGTTGGCATTGAACTTACTGTGTAGCCCAGGCTAGCCTGCTTCTCACTGTACTCCTGTCTCAGCCTCCCCAGTGCTGAGCTCAAAGGCATAAGACACCATGTCTGGCTTCACACAGCAGCGTTTGTCCTTATTAGGTGCCTTCTGCTTATTTCTTTCACTGGAAAGAAAAGAAAAATGCTGACTGAATCCCACAAAATCGATTCACAGGTCACAATTTGTGGTTAGAAAAAAAAAAAGCCAATTTTTTGCCTATTTCTTTGGTTAGTCAGTGTCCCTGTACTGTAAGCTTCTGGCAAACAGGTGTCACTCCAAGTTGGTGTGCTCTTTGGATGGGCCAGCTTCCAGCTTCTGTTGACTAGGTGTTATCACACGTTTGGTCCATTTCCTGAAGTACCATAATGCTAATCTTTGATGAAATTGGGTGCAAGCGTGTCCTTATTTTCTCTAGCCTTTGTTTTGCCTGAGAAATACATCAGGCCTACTTCCATTCAGCCATGTTATCTTTATGTCATACTTCACAAGCATTTTATTTTTGTGTTCCAGTATTAAAAAGAGCCACTGAGCTGTGGGGCTGGGGAGAGCCCCTGCTCTTCCAGAGGACAAGAGTTTAGTTACCAGGACTCATGTCAGGGGGCTCACAACTGCCTGTAACTCCAGTCCCAAGGGGATCCATAACCTTCCTCTGGCCTCTGGGAACCTGTACACATATGGCATATACTCACACATATATATAGCCACACACATACACATAAAAATAAAATCAATCCTAAGAAAGACATGAGAGAGAGAGAGAGAGAGAGAGATATATATAGAGAGAGTCTGATTTGCCTTTCTGCTGTTTGATGCCATCTCAAGTTCTTCAGTAGTTTTTAGATGATGGTCTTGCTTTCTGTCTGTAAAAGGCTATAAAGCTCACGTGTTGATATACATTTTAAATGATCAGAAATTGAGTATAACCTTCAGTCAGGGATTGCCTAAATTTCTCCTATGAAGATACTTTTCAAATGTTTACAAAATAGATGAAGGGCTGAAGAGGTAGCTCAGTAGGTAAACACTTGCCCTGCATGAGTGAGGACCTGTATTCCCTAGCATCCTCCTAAAGAAGCTGGGTGCAGTGACATACCTGTAATCCCAGCACTGGGGGATCAACAGCAAGATCCCAGGGGCTGAATTAGTGAGCTGTCCAGGCTTGGTGAGGGACTGTCTCAAAACATAAGGAAGATAGCTGACATCTATTGCTGGCCTTCAAACATGGGCACCCATCTGCAAACATGCGCACATCCACACAGAATAGATGAAATCCATAGAGAAAATGTTAAAACAGTACTAATTCTTTTTTGTTTGTTTGTTTTTCAAGACAGGGTTTCTCTGTGTAGCCTTGACTGTACTGGAACTCCCTCTGTAGAACAGGTTGGCTTCGAACTCAGAGATCTGCCTGCCTCTGCCTCCCAAGTGCCGGGATTAAAGGCATGTGCCACCACCACTAAGCCAGTATTAATTCTTAATAAACATCAATAGGTGTTGGTGAACAAAGTGAGAGCCCTTCATGTGTTGCTGCTTCCTTTGAAAGTTGTCACACAGCCTGTTGCTGCAGGATGTAATGTAAGGAGTCTTTCTCTGTCCCGATAGCCAGCTCCCAAATGATGATAGGGAGACTTCTTATTAATTATGAAAGCTCTGCCTATAGCTTAGGCTTGTTCCTAGCTGTCTCTTATAACTTTAATGAACCTATTTGTATTAATCTACGTTTTACTGTGTAGCTTTTTACCTTTCTTTCATTCTGTATGTCCATCTCCATTTCTTTTTGGTATCTCCTCTGCTCCTCGATTATCTCCTTCTACTTCCTCTCTCTGCCCAGAAGTCCCGACTGGCTATTGGCCGTTTGGCTCTTTATTGAGCCAATCACAGCAATATGTCTTTAGGCAGTGTACAAATATTCCATAACAACATGACATGTCACAGGATGTTGCCTCAGTTCAGTAACTCATGACAGGATGTCTACTGACGGCTACCTTGACAGTGTTGCTTTGTGTTTGGATGAAGATGAAATTCAGAGGCACAGTCACCAGGAAAATGTTGCCCAGGTTAAACCTCACCCCTGGAGCACTTCTTCAGTAGATACTGTATGAACGCACAGGTCACTGTCAGACTGCTGCTTATAAAACAGGGCTCCTGTCTTCACTGTTGGCTTGTGACATGGCTGCTGTTGAGACGGGTTATGTGGGCATGTGTGAACCATCTCTGAACATTGCGTCTTCTGACCAGCCAGATACTGCTTGTTTTAAAGGACGTTTTGTAGTGGGTGTCAGGATCACTAAGGAAGATCAGGACTCGTTTCTTATCTGGGGGGACTCATTTGTATGTGTGAATAAATGACTTTGGAGAACTCACTGGGTGTGATCCTGTGTCCTTTTAAACGTTTATTTCTTCTCTTGACCCTTAGACCCACAGAAGGCTCTTCTCTTATGAGTTTTGCTTCCTAACTGCTGAGGGTTTGGAAATTGAATGCTTGATATTGTTGGGATTCTGTGTAAAATGAAATTATGTTGCTGTGAATAATGGTGTGTGTGTGTGTGTGTGTGTGTGTGTGTGTGTGTGTGTGTCTGTCTGTCTGTCTGTCTGTCTATCTGTCTGTCTGTCATCTTTTTCTTGATATTTAAATGGTATAACATGTATGTGAGCTACTCAGGCCAGTCTACACATTTTATTCCTGAACTGTGTTTTGTGCAAGTGCTTCATGGATCCTGGGTCTGCCCAGCTACATAAGAGACCATCCACATACACCCCTCCCCACCCCCTACTACCAGTACTGGGAATTGAACCCAGGGCCTCACCCATGGTAGGCAAATGGTCTACCACTGAATTATATACTCCAGAAAGAGTTATGAAAAGTAACTTGGAGCTGATAGTGCTGTGATTTGGGTTTAATGGGTGAAAAATACTTCTGAGCTGTGCCCTACATGCAGTTTGTCATGGAGCTGCCATTCCTGATTTTTCTCTTGGGGCTTAGATCTGTGCTTGGCCAGCTGTCTTGATGTGTGATCCTTGGATTACACTTGATCTTGCCCAGCTTTGTGACAGAATTCTTACAGAAAATGTGGTTATCTTCAAAGACTGATTAACTAGCTGCTTTCCAGTGCAGATGCCCAGTTGTCAAGCCCCCAGTGTAATGGTTGACATCCAGGGCCTTCTCCAGCTTTCCTCAATTTTCCTTGTGACTGTCATTCCATTTCCCAAAGCAGGGGCTCTTCTTCATTGTGCCTCCCTTTGCCTGTAAGAGGGTGTCCCTTTCTTTGTCAAATCCTGTTTCTTCTCGCTTCCTTTCCTATAACCTCTTTCATGTGAAGTCTTTGTGCTTCTGTTCCTGTATCAGAAATACCCAGTGGTCAGGAGGCTCTAACGTCACCTTGAGTCTCGCCACCTTGAGTCTTGAAACCAGCAGCATTGTTCACAGAACAAGTGAATCCTAGTTGACAGAACGAAAAATTAAAAAGTAGATCCCTGATCCCTTCCTGGGCTTCCTGAACCAAAATCTCTGGATGGATACAGGAATATATGTCTTAGTGCTCTGCCCCCTGATTGTTCTGCCCAGTAAAATTGAAGAGTCACCAGCCCAGCTTGATGCTTTAAACTATAGCAGGTACACACAAATGATTTTTGAGCATATGATGTTTAACGAACTGAGCAATGTCCTATTTCAACAGGCTGGTTTAATTTTAGGGCTTTGAAGTCAGCCTCCTTTGGACTGGCTCTGTCAGTCACTAGTCAAATGACCCAAGCCTTGTTTTGCTTGGATTTTTTGATCTCGAATGGGGTTAATAGCGCCTTTTATGAGT